ACATTTCATACTTCATTTTGACAGCAAACTATATCTCCAAGTAAGTGGTGTTGAAATTGATAATAGTGTCACTGTTATTTATGACAATATTTGTGCATGTTTTTGAAACAACAGCATTTGAAAAGTGATGTCAAAATATCAACACTGACCCTGATCTCTGGCTTAGATACATCAATGACATGTTTGGACTGTGGAACCATGGCCTTCTATCATTAATAAAATTTTTATATTTCCTAAATTCCATATAATCCAACATCTAATTCACTCTGAATCACTCAAATGACAAGAAGAGTATAGATTTTCTTGATGTTACCTTAAGGATCGACAATGAAAATAATATACAATCTACCATGTTTCACAACCCAATTAGAAAACCTCTTTTCCTTAACTTCAACTCCCATCATCCCAAAGCTTCCAATAAAGGTGCAGTTATTGGAGAATTAAAAAGAATTGATTGCAACCATAATAAAAAAACACTGCACGCTCTGAACTAAATAAAACCACTCCTTTTGAGTAATGAATATCCACCTTTTTACATCAAACAAATTTTCAAGGACTATGATGCCCAAATATCAGCATCACACCTCCAACATGAAAAAATACAAATAAACAAGGAAGAAAAAAAGACAATTTTCCAAAAGTAACAAAAAAAGGTTATTTTTATTGTACCTCTAATTGACAAAACTATCACCAAGAAAATAAAAATTATAATCAGGAAATCTGAACTGCCAATTAAGTTATAGAACAGCCAAGTCCAACCATAAAAAGCCAACTTTAAAAATCTTAGTACACTATCCTACAATGTAACGAAACCAACGGTCTTACAAAAATGTGTATGCAATCTGAAGATGGCTGTCTTGTCTACAATGTTGTTTACCACCTCACACGTAACATGTACATTAGGGAAACCAGAAGAACTCTATACACAAGGATAGGAGAACATACTGATTCTCTTTATAAACAACATCATGAAAGAAGTGCAGTTACAGATAATGTTTTAACTCATCATGGACAAATAACACCTAACACAAAACCACCATTCTCCATACAAATCCTTACCAAAGTCACCAACTACACTGACAGAAAATATAAAGAAGTTCTTCTCATCAAACAACTATGATCACAGATGAATAGGGACAAAGGATGGTGCCTATAATTATAATTAT